GACTGAACTAGTCCTGATGCAAACAGCTGCTCTGCTGGAGTCTGAACTGAATCAACTGGGTGTCGGACTGAAGACTGACTGACGTGTGTGTGAGTGTGTGTCTGTGGGTGTGTGTGTGTGTGTGTGTGTGTGTGTGAGTGTGTGTGTCTGTGGGTGTGTGTGTGTGTGTGTGTGTGTGTGTGTGCGTGCGTGCGTGCGTGTGTGTGTGTGTGTGCGTGCGTGTGTGTGTGTGTGTGTGTGTGTGTGTGTGCGTGCGTGCGTGCGTGTGTGTGTGTGTGTGCGTGCGTGTGTGTGTGTGTGTGTGTGTGTGTGTGTGCGTGCGTGCGTGCGTGTGTGTGTGTGTGTGCGTGCGTGTGTGTGTGTGTGTGTGTGTGTGTGTGTGCGTGCGTGCGTGCGTGTGTGTGTGTGTGTGCGTGCGTGTGTGTGTGTGTGTGTGTGTGTGTGTGTGCGTGCGTGCGTGCGTGTGTGTGTGTGTGTGCGTGCGTGTGTGTGTGTGTGTGTGTGTGTGTGTGTGCGTGCGTGCGTGCGTGTGTGTGTGTGTGTGCGTGCGTGTGTGTGTGTGTGTGTGTGTGTGTGTGTGCGTGCGTGCGTGCGTGTGTGTGTGTGTGTGCGTGCGTGTGTGTGTGTGTGTGTGTGTGTGTGTGTGCGTGCGTGCGTGCGTGTGTGTGTGTGTGTGCGTGCGTGTGTGTGTGTGTGTGTGTGTGTGTGTGTGCGTGCGTGCGTGCGTGTGTGTGTGTGTGTGCGTGCGTGTGTGTGTGTGTGTGTGTGTGTGTGTGTGCGTGCGTGCGTGCGTGTGTGTGTGTGTGTGCGTGCGTGTGTGTGTGTGTGTGTGTGTGTGTGTGTGCGTGCGTGCGTGCGTGTGTGTGTGTGTGTGCGTGCGTGTGTGTGTGTGTGTGTGTGTGTGTGTGTGCGTGCGTGCGTGCGTGTGTGTGTGTGTGTGCGTGCGTGTGTGTGTGTGTGTGTGTGTGTGTGTGTGCGTGCGTGCGTGCGTGTGTGTGTGTGTGTGCGTGCGTGTGTGTGTGTGTGTGTGTGTGTGTGTGTGCGTGCGTGCGTGCGTGTGTGTGTGTGTGTGCGTGCGTGTGTGTGTGTGTGTGTGTGTGTGTGTGTGCGTGCGTGCGTGCGTGTGTGTGTGTGTGTGCGTGCGTGTGTGTGTGTGTGTGTGTGTGTGTGTGTGCGTGCGTGCGTGCGTGTGTGTGTGTGTGTGTGTGCGTGCGTGTGTGTGTGTGTGTGATTTTGAGAGTGACATCAGGCCTGTTGTGATTTCCCAGCAGCCCGTACACCTGGATCATGTTTCCGTTCCTGCGCTAATGCTGAAACCCTGCATCCACATTTAGCTAACTGCTTCACATTAAAATAAACGCATGAAAGGACTCTCACGCGAAGCACTGCAGGCTCTGCTTCACTTCTGCGCTACGGTTTGGAAAGTGTTTTTAATGACGGCGAGGGATGGTGTACGTCAGCTAACTGAAAGTGGATTATATAAATGATTCTCTATGAGCTCATCTCTGAACAATGTGCTTCATGTTTCTACATCTGTCACCTCCCCCTCTTTCACAATAAAACCTGCCTCTCCAGCTCTTGCTTTTGTCTGCGCAAATGAGAAAACCCTTTCAGTGTTCAGTTATTAGAGCCGTTTAGGTCACCAGCAGTAGTGCTCCTCAAGGATCAAAACTCTTAAAGTCGAGTGTGTAAGTGCAGCATTTGTGCTCCAGACATGAACGATTACTCTAATTATGTGTTGAACACCATGAAAGAAAACGCATCGAGCACGCTATAGCGTATGCCTTTGCAACTACAACACCTTAGAAACCACACAATCCCCCACGAAACACCCTAGCACTTGTATACAAGTGCACGTCTTAACAAGGTCTTGAAAAGTCTTAATTCGCCCTTTCACAAATTCAGGCATTCTTAAATCAGAGCAGAAGTCTTTAATTTATAGTCATGGCATTAAATGTTGCATGCATCTTTCTCAGTATTTGTTTTCCAATACAAATATCTAAACGTCCTTCAATCAAGACACATTTTCTTAAGTTGCAAGTTGTCTTGTTTTCAGAGAAATTGAACACGATTGAGTTCAAGACTTATTTTGTTTCTCAAGTAAAAATGTATCTTTAGATATTTGTACTGGAAAACAAGACAAATGGATTGAAATAAATAAATAAAAAGTGATGGAGCTCTATCGGAAGTTGTATTTTCAAGCTTTGAAGGGTTGCTAATACAAGACATTTGCATTTTGAGGCCGTGTTGACATAGTGTTACGTTTTATTTATTCCTTATATTTACTTTACTTGGTCTTAAAGTCCTAAAGTCTTAATTTTTCCTACAGAAACCCTGCACATAGTAACATCCTGACCACCAGTTTAAATAAAGCAACTGCACAGCAAAGCAAATTTTGAAGAACTTAGTTGTTTTATTCAAGAAATGTAAAAATCTAGTGTAAAGCAGAGATGCACTCACATTAGCAAACTTTAGGTTTCTGTATGTCAACACGGAAAATCCATGTGAGTGACTCAATCTCATTGGGAAATCAGGGGAAATCTTTCGCCTTTGCGCAAAATTCCAGATTGTGTGAATTGAGATTGAAATGACTGGATTTAGTGCTGGGCAGTATGACCAAAAATGTATGTCACGGTATTTTTCAAAATTATACCGGTTTCACGGTACATGACGGTATTTTTTTCATGCATGACCGGGTGTTAACCACATTTTCTACTGATTGAGAGGAAATACTGCAGTATATTGACTTAGAATGCCCTATTTTACTGTCATGATGAGTGAATATTGTAGAAAAATACCACACTAAATAGTGACTAAACACGACCCCTTTTAATACATGTTAACCAGGAGTCACTCTCATTTATAATCACAGCATCGTCTGATAAACTCAGCATGCATCTACACTAAAGAGCGGCTAGATTACTCTTTTGTCTCATGCAGCGCACTGCCTGCGTCTGAGTAACAACCTAAACAAAACAACAAACTAAAAAGTGCATGTGGTATTAATTAATATAACACCCAGATTTTTGACTGTAGAGGAAGTAACCGTACACTATCGTACAATCGTGTTGAAACATTTTGGTCGTGCAATGTAGCGTACCTAAATCACATCTGTGTCCCTGCAGCACAAAAGCAGTGTTGAGTCGCTGGGGGATATTTGTAGCAATAGCCAACAATACATTGTATGGGTCACAATTATACACTTTTATTAATGCAAAAAATCATTAGGATATTAAGTAAAGATTATGTTCCATGAAGATATTTTGTAAATCTCCTACCGTAAATATATCAAAACTTAATGTTTGATTAGTAATATGCATTGCTAAGAACTTCATTTGAACAACTTTAAAGATGATTTTCTCAATATTTAGATTTTTTTGCACCCTCAGATTTGAGTTTTTTAAAAAATAGTTGTATCTCAGCTTTCATATGATGTATAAATCTCAATTTAAAAAAAATTGACCCTTATGACTGGTTTTGTGCTCCAGGGTCACGTATTATACATTTCTTCTTTTTTTACTACCGCAGTATGCATCTATAACTTTCTGTGTGTGCTGTTGCGCTCATTAGTTTTGATTTCTGCAGGAGTCTCTCTTACACACTCACTCAGGCTATGCACGATATAAATACGTTATCAGTCGCCATAAGTGTGACGTCAAAACAGTCATGCGGAAAATCGGCTAATTCCGGACTCTGGCCGGTCGATAGGTGCATCTCTAATTGAATGGTTTGGTTCTCAGATACAGGAGCTTCTCCTTTGTGTCTGAACTCAGTTGAGCGATCATGTTAATGGAGCAGAGCATCAGACTCGTGTGGTATGGGTCGCTGGGTTTTCCGCTTTCTGGCTGGACTGCAGCTTAACCATTATCAGCCGCTGGCTCATTCTTCTGACTGGAAAGTTCAGAGAATCTTTCATCTGAGTTGGCTGCCTCGTTTCTGGACTCCAGAGTGGCCCGGGTTCCCGTCTGTGGAGACGCCATTGGACAGACTCAGAGACCTGTGATCTGAGCTCATCCTCATCACCCGCTTTCCCACATGTAGCTCCGGACTTATTCAAGAGGAGCTTTCTGGAATGCTTTAGCGAAGCGACACGGCTAGAGACATTCCCCATTACATCAGGAACCCCAGGCTGACGTATAAATCTAAAATATGGACTGCTGGATGTTTTGTTCGCTCATTCCCAGTGTAAAGGTCATTGCACACTGAGTCTGAAATTTTCGCACGTTAAAAAATAAATACGACCTCACGTTGTGTCAATCACGTTTACACACTTTCTGAAACTTTCGTCCGTCATAAAAAAAATTCGGATCAGGTTCGATTTTCTGCATTTTCGCGTCCATAGCAAGCATTTTGATAGGAAAGGATGATGAATACGAAAATTTCGGACTCCGTGTGCAAGGACCTTACGTGTCCGGGTTTCCGTCGCTAGTGTCGTCAGAAGTACCAGTACTTCGGTCGATGCTTACATTTTAAAAACATGGAGACACCAGCATCTATGCGTTACCAGGTCGATCCGGTATCGGCTTTCAAACGCTCCTGTATTTATGTGAGACTCCGTGAAGAGCTTGGAGAACATGTTTTGCTGCGTTGAGCATTGTAGGCAATCACAGACAGACTGTTGTGAATGCAGTGGCCAATCAGAGGCTTTTAAGGCAGAATCCACTTAATACGCCAGAATTGTTTTGTTCTAAACTAGGAATGCAATGATACCATTTTTTCAGAACCGATCTGATACCGAAAATTCTGAGTATCTGCCGATACCGATCTGATCTGCCAGTGCAGTTTTTTGTAAATCAATGTAGAATTTGTATATTTCTGTGTGTTGACCTGATCATCACTGTTTTGTGTGTTAAACACAATCTAATAAATGTAGAAAACTTCATTTTAATGATAAATAACAAATGAAAAAGTTAGTGCTGTCAAACGATTAATCGCGATTAATCTCATCCGAAATAAAAGTTTTTGTTTACATAATATATGTGTGTACTGTGTGTCTTTGAGCAATCGTTTGGATAAAAGAGAAAACAGCGCTAGAGTTTGGGAACTGGATCTCTTTTTCTTGGATTGGTCGTTGGGAAGCAAATGAAAATGTTGGAGATTTGTCTAAAATTGGTGGGCTGTAAATCCAAAAAAGGTCTTTCTTCGTCCTCCAGCTGTTACTTGGAAGGTAAGCGTCTGATCGCGAACGTGTGAGTGTGTGTGCGCATGCGTGTGTATGAGAAGTGTGTGTGTGTCTGTGAGAGCGTGCGTGAGCGTGCGTGAGTGTGTGTGAGAGCGTGTGTGTGTGTGTGTGTGTCTGTGAGAAGTGTGTGTGTATGTGTGAGAGTGTGTGAGCGCGTGTGTATGTGTGAGTGTGTGTGAGAGCGTGTGTGTGTGCGTGAGTATGTGAGTGTGTGTGTGTGTGTGCGTGAGTATGTGAGTGTGTGTGTGAGAGCGTGCGTGAGTGTGTGTGTGAGAGTGTGTGTGAGCGCGTGTGTATGTGTGAGTGTGTGTGAGAGCGTGTGTGTGTGCGTGAGTATGTGAGTGTGTGTGTGAGAGCGTGCGTGAGTGTGTGTGTGAGAGTGTGTGTGAGCGCGTGTGTATGTGTGAGTGTGTGTGAGAGCGTGTGTGTGTGCGTGAGTATGTGAGTGTGTGTGTGAGAGCGTGCGTGAGTGTGTGTGTGAGAGTGTGTGTGAGCGCGTGTGTATGTGTGAGTGTGTGTGAGAGCGTGTGTGTGTGCGTGAGTATGTGAGTGTGTGTGTGAGAGCGTGCGTGAGTGTGTGTGTGAGAGTGTGTGTGAGCGCGTGTGTATGTGTGAGTGTGTGTGAGAGCGTGTGTGTGTGCGTGAGTATGTGAGTGTGTGTGTGAGAGCGTGCGTGAGTGTGTGTGTGAGAGTGTGTGTGAGCGCGTGTGTATGTGTGAGTGTGTGTGAGAGCGTGTGTGTGTGCGTGAGTATGTGAGTGTGTGTGTGAGAGCGTGCGTGAGTGTGTGTGTGTGTGAGAGCGTGCGTGAGTGTGTGTGTGTGTGAGAGCGTGCGTGAGTATATGTGTGTGTGTGTGTGTGTGTGTGTGTGAGAGCGTGCGTGAGTGTGTCCGAGTCCGACCACAGCCTTCAGATGAACAGACGGATGGATCTGGGGTCGATGGTCTCGTGAAAATCACAGGCCTCGGTTCTTCTGTCTGTTTGGAGAGTGGAGGAGGGGGAACGAGTGAGAGGAAAGCCAGACATACTGGCTCTCTGTAAAATAGAAAGAGAGGAAAAACGAGGGAGGAGAGAACACTGGGAAACCTGATTCCTGTCTGGATAGATCCGTGCAGCTCGGTGTGTGTGGAGCGTTTGGATGCATCTGCGCTCTGTGAGCTCGCTGGAGTTTGTTCAGGGTTTGCTCCGTGATCTTCAGGATCTCAGGCAGATTGTTCGAGCATAGATAGAGGTTACTGAACGCCAGTAACAGTTTATCTTTATTAAAGGGGTCCTATTATGCTCTTTTACAAAGTCTTGATTTGTTTTGGGGGTGTACTAGAACATGCTCTCATGCTTGGCTCTTCGAAAAACGCATTATTTTTCACATAATTTACATTATTACAACACCTCTCTCCCCAGTCTGGCACAAACGATTGGCTTTGATGAAGCTCCGCCTTCCGAAACTAAATGTGTAGTGATTGGTTAGCTGTCCCAGTGTGTTGTGATTGGCCAACAGCTCAGACGGTGTTTCAGTACTGCCCCGCCCCCTTGCTCCGTCTTTCAACAAAAGCTTTTGGGAATCCAGCACTGTACTCCCTCATGTTGTGGAAGCGGTCCTCAGTCAAATGTGCAGCACACTAAATGTAGCAAATTGGGGTAATAATGCTCAGGAACAGAGTTAAAAAATAAATTGCAACCACTGTTTCCTGACATCATCCGCTTTCGGAAGCCCAGACAAAGACGTTTGGGCACGGAGGTGAAAAAAACAGCGTTTCAGGCGGTCGCACACCAAACGAGTAGCGCAGCAGCGCGCCACGGCTTTAAAATTCAAATACATTATTTTCTATGAGTGTAGCACACTGGCGGTGTCTGTCCGCGGCGCCCAGCTACGTCGTGTTGTACTTGTAAGAATTGTTCTAGACATGCCGAAAATGTGAGGCTACAGCACTGCAGCCAATGAGCCGCTTTGTGACATCACAAAGCCCGGAAACCAACACTGTAGTCCAAACGAGCCGTTCGTTGTAGTTCTTGAAAAGGGATTTTTAAAACTACATATCTCCCTTTGGAGTGGACTTTGAGATTTGTAAGTTTGAAGATCTTTTTTTATACCCAAACATACACACTGACTAAAATTTAAAAAAGTGAAAAAGCGTAATAGGACCCCTTTAAAACTCTGAAATGTTGTTCTTATGGCGTGAATATATGCTACCAGTCTTTGTTTTGAACAGTAAGATTTTTAGTGTTTTGTAAAGAAGTCTCTTCTGCTCACCAAGCCTGCATTTATTTGATCCAAAGCACAGCAAAAGCAGTACAATTGTGAAATGTTTATTTAAAATAACAATTTTCTGTATTTTCAGCATCATT